TGAAGTGGAGTGTGTTCTTCCACTCAGACTTTCGAAAAACAGCCCTCGAGACTCGGTGGCCTATCAGAAGGGATCTTCTTGCCAAAGTAGGGTGTGTGCTACTATTCAAACTCTTGAGGGATAGCCTTGCTTCCGTTTGGACTTCCGAGGGACAACTCTTGCTCTCATTAGTGCGGGTCCGAAGAACAGCCCTTGATTTCATCAATACGAGCTCCGAGGATCTTTCTTTTCAAAGTAAAGTGGACTCTTACTCGAACTCCCGAGGGATGGCCTTTGCTTCCATTAGCTGCCGAAGTAGAAGTTCGCATCCACTCGGACTTCCGAGGGACAGCCTTGTTTCTGCTCGGACTTCCGAGGGACAGCCTTGTTTCCGCTCGAACTTCTAAGGGATAGCCTTACTTCTGCTTGGACTTCTGAGAGACAATCTTTACTTTTATTGGTGCAAGCTTGGTAGACTCGATTGCCGTCCAGATGGATCTTTCTTGCCGAAGTAGGGTGTATGCTACTTTCGGACTCCTAAGGGACAATTTTGCTCTCGTTCAGACTTTCGAAGGACAACCCTTACTCTCATTAGTGAAGATTCTGAAGGCCTCGGGGTCATGGATTTCGTACAAAAATTTATTTGCCTGAAATAGTAAAGCCGACAAACGAGATAAGCAATATTAATTTCAAATCATGATTTAGACATTATCCGAATGGGGCAACATCAACATCTACACATTTGTTCTATTCTCTTCAAATTTTCAACAATGGTGCTCAACAACAAATTGCAATGGCCTTCAACAAGCCCACTAAGATTCAATAATTATTTTTTTAAAAATTATTGCTGGGCCAAATTAGTTCAACAGTACCTATTCCGACATTCACAAGGATGGTAATGAATAAATTCACACGAGGCAACCAGCGAATGCTTAATATTTTTCAATAGTTTTATTTGTATCAAATTATCAACACACGGGCTCGGGTTTTAAATATCAGGAGGAGTGCAATGTCATGGTGTGTTTTTTATCTTGCAAAATCAGCAATGAAATTCAATAGCCCAGTGCTAAAGATTTATCTATATCCAGCCCATCAATAAAAGTCCCAAATCTCAAGCAAGGATTTGAAGATGTATATAATCAGAGCACTAGTTCAAGATTGTTGGCAAGCCTCAAGACTGAAATAAATTATCACCAGAATTCCCAAATTCGAAAATGTATCAGTGCATATTTATTTTGAGCACAAAAGTCCATCAAAACAATAAGAATGAAGGTGGGTTTACATAGGAGATTCCACCAAATTCAAAGAGTGTAACCACAGATTTATACTAACAGAGGAAGAGCGCAGCTGAGTCAGAATCAATGCGGGAAGCAGAAAATAGGCCACGGATTAGTAAAATCAGCAACAAGGACAATCGGAATAGATCGGCAATAGCACAAACAGTGGATGAAAATGGATATGGACGGACCGACATTGCGTTGAGTGGGCGGCGTGGCCATCACTTCTCAGTTACGGTTGATAAATACAGAAACGGTGCAAGAGCTGGGCAAGACAACGCATGTTGCGTTGAACGGGCAACATGCGTAGTCGGCGTTGGACAATCCAAAGCCGGAGGCAGCAGTGGTGATGTCTCAAGAGCAGGACGAAAATGTGTGCAAGCCACGCAAGCTGGGCAGTCGTGTATGCAAGGCAGGGTCGGGGCTGCTCTCGCAAGGGCCGTCGGAGTGTTGCACAACGCTAGGAAGGTTGGACGGCATTACTCAGTCGCGCCTGAACCAGTGGTGGTGCTATTTGGTGGAGCAAAACCGAAATCAGACGCACCCAAAGCTCAAAGTAGATGCGTCGTTGGGCCGAGTAGAAGTATTGACGACGGCGGGGCCTGTAGCTGCGGCGATGAATAACGTGCAACCTAAAAAAAAAAATCGGTAGTGAAGTAAGGAAGATGAAGCACAGAACAAAAAGAAGAAGAAGAAGAAGAGATGTCATAAATGCAAGCAACGGAGTAGCTGGGCAGACCAACGCCACGTTGGAAAGGAGGCGTGGTCGGCGTTGGCCAAATCACGGCTGAAGACAGTGGTGAAGTTGCAGGTGGAGAGCATGAAGTAATGGGCTAGATGGTCACACGTACAGGGTGGAACTCCGATTGGCTGTCGCGGGGGCCGACGAGGTGCTCAACAACGTGGGTAAGGTCTGCGCTGTAACAAAACTGCAGCAATATATGGTGATGGTTCACGGCATGTGTAGTCCCAACTGAAGTGACGGAGAATAAAAGGATGAGGCCGGCGGCAGTGGTCTTCAACGGGGTGCAAAAACATGAAGAAGCTCTGATATGATGTTGGCCTCTGGTATTGTAGCAGCAGACCTTCATTGAAAAAGAATAAAACTGGGTCAGTTTTGAGGAAGAAGAAAGTAAGTTGGTCCCTCGGTTTAGAGAGAGATAGAGCTGAAACGGCTGTGGCAAAAAGTGTATAAGGAATAGGGTTTTACCTTTCTTTAAATAAGGAAAAAAGAGAGGTATGATCCTTGGAATATGCTCTCAAAAAATTCTAATGGTGGGCCTTATCTCTCCAAGATTCAAAAAATAAATGGGCTGCTGTATTCTAAAAAGAAAGTGTGGCCATATCTTGTCAAGAATAAAAAAAATAGGTTCTTTAATTTGCTTTGACTTGGAGTAAAACAATGCATCTTCAAATGTTCTAGAAGACTTGGAATTATTCAGGCTCTTAAAGAATTAAAGGATCGGGATTGGTTTCTGAAGAAAAACGTAGCACAAATATTTATTTGGTGTCCAAAAAGCATTATGTTTTTATATTGTTAAAAAAAAAGTTATTTATTTATTCATTTATCTTTTTTTTTAATATTACTTGTCGATTTTATCTGTTAATTACGGTGAATCCTCAGCTTTATCCTTAGACTCTGTCAATGCCAAATATTCTCGAAGACATAATGTGAAGCATGGCTGACAAAGTGAAACTATGCATGTCCGAGAAAACTACAATTTCTCATACATGCAAGGGGCAAATGTAAGAGAAGCTAATTTAAGCCCACTAAATTAATTAGGCCCAATAGTCCAAGGTTGGTGGGCCCGAATTTATCGCAAGTCCAAGATTGGTGGGCCCGGATTTATCGCCATCAAACGGGCCGAATCGCTCTAAGCCTTGAAAGGATTCGGATCCACGAACTTAGAGACTTACTCAAGCCCGGACTCGAAAGGGTATTGAGCAAGGCTAGAGATCCGAGGCACTCGGACTCGAAAGGATTCGGACCCATGAATCTAGAGATCCGAAGCACTTGGCCTCGAACGGATTCAGACACAATCTAGAAGCCGTTTCATTAATGAGTCCCAAAACACTTGCAGACTCGGAGCTTTCTGGGATCTACGTACCAGAACCATGGGCGTAATGGAGTCCGAACAAAGGACCCGATCCTGAGGACGGTGAGTGGAGATAAATTCACTCTTCGGTTAAACTAGCCTATACCCGGGTCGAGGTGGCACGGTCTAGGTGGTCCCTGAGACACGACAATATTTGCGGCAGGGCATTCTCTTGAACTACCCCTGACCCTTATGCGGCAGGACGTCTTCTGGAACTACCCCTGATCCTTTGGGATGATTGGGGATCATTGGTTAGGTGTGGCTAAGAAGAAGGGTTCGCCGAGGGGTTGATCTCCCCCTCAGGGTTTTCCTCTTCCTCGGAGAGGTCACCTCCTCGGACAAGGTGGTTAGAAAGAATATTCCCCATGTGCCTTGCACATGGGCTCCATCCTACATCATGAGGTGCCTATAAATAGCACCTACCTATAGCTTTACAAGGGGATGGATTTTGGAGAGAAAACTCTTGGGAAAGAACTAATTTCCCTTCTCCATAATCAACCTTGAGAGTGAAAGTGGGAGATCCATGGGAGAGCCTTGCCATTATTCTCTCTCTAGCTACTTTGCCTTCTGCTTCACCCAATCTCTTATCTCCATCATCTCCTTTGCTCTTGTGTTCTTGAGTTGAGACTATTGAAGAATCTAAGCCTCTCATCAACTTCTAGAGAATTCGAAGTTGTTCTTCAAGGATCTTCGAAGATCTTCGAATTTTCCAACGACGTTCTTGAACCCTCTCATACAAGCTTTAGCTTTAATAGCTCTCCTTATTGAAAAGTCTTTTTGCTATAATATGTATAGAGATATAGATATAAAATTTCCAGTGTGTTATTATCAATATTTATGCTCTGAATAATGCATTGAAAAGAAGACATCTATGGGAGAGTCTTATCAATCTTAAACCTTCTTATCCCAACCCTTGGTGTTTGGGAGGCAATTTTAATGAAATTAGATTCATGAGCAAAAAGAAGGGATGTTCAAGGAGGGAGAGGGGAATGGAAGATTTTAATGATTTTATTGATAGAGTGGAGTTAATTGATTTACCTATGCAAGGAAGAACAGTCACATGGTGTAATGCAATGGAAAGAGATAGGTGGAGTAGGATTGACAGGTTTCTAGTTGACCTTGCTTGGCTGGAGAGGTGTCAATTGAAACAATGGGGATTATCTAGAAGTATATTTGATCACTGCCCAGTTCTGGTAATGGAGGATGAAAGGGACTGGGGTCTAAAACCTTTTAGATTTATTAAAGCACGAACACTCCATCCAAATTCAAAATGGAAGTGAAGAAAGTTTGGGAGGAGGCTTAGATTTTAGGTTGGGCCAGTTTTAGAATCATGTGTAAATTGAGGATCTTGAGAGCACATTTGAGAAGGTGGAACAATGAGGTATTTGGGGATATTGATGACCAACTCAAGAAAGCTGAAGATGAATTGCATGAATGGCATTTGAAAGCTGAATCCAAATCTTTGTTGGAGACATAATTGAAAAGAAGAAGAGAGGTTAGAAGTTAAGTGTGGAATCTTCGTAGATGTAAGGAAAGAATGTGGTTACAAAAGTTAAGAATGACATGGGCGCATAATGGTGATAAAAATACTAGATTGTTCTACTTTATGGCAAGTAGAAGGCAGAGGAAAAACTCATTGGGCTCGCTGATGGCGAATGGTGTAGTGTTTGAAGATCCAAATATGGTGAGACAAGTAGTGGTGAATCATTTTAGCAGTGTGTTTACTGAAAATTGGAAGTCTAGGCCTAAATTGTCAAGTTCCTTCTTATCCATTAGTCTGGCTAATTCGAAGGATGTGTTAGAGGTAGAGTTCTGTGAAGCAGAAATTTGGGCAGCCATTCAAGATTGCGATGTAAATAAGGACCCATGGCTAGATGGTTTCAATTTGTCTTGCATTCAAAAATGTTGGTCTATAATGAAAGGTGAGTTTATTAAAATTTTCCAAGAGTTTCACAATAATGGGAAGATGGCTAAAGAGGTAAATAACTCCTTGATCACTTTGATTCCTAAAAAGGAGAACCGCACTGATTTGAGTAGATATTAACGTATTAGTTTGGTTAGCTCAATTTACAAAGTGTTGGCTAAAGTACTAACTAGAAGACTAAGACAAGTGCTACCTAAGCTTATAGGGGAAGTTCAGACTGCTTTCATTGGAGGTGGATGTATTCTTGATGGGGTTTTAATTGCAAATGAAGTGAATTAGTGGAGAAAGACAAAGAAAAAAGGAATCATTCCTAAATTGGATTTCGAGAAGGCATATGATTCGGTTAATTGGGAATTTTTGTTATCAATGATGGTAAACTTTGGTTTTGGTGAAAAATGGGTGAGGTGGATTACGTCGTATATTTCTACATCAAGGATATCAGTGCTTGTTAATAGGTCACCCACTGTAGAATTTTCTCCTCAAAAGGGGTTAAGACAAGGTGATCCACTCTCACCTTTCCTCTTTAATATAGTGGTTGAAGGTTTAAATCTCTTACTAGAGAAAGCAAAAGAAAGGGGATTGATAAGAGGAGCTTCAGTTGGACCTAATGAGTTGAAAATTTCTCATTTAGAATTTGCGGATGAAAGCATAATTTCTCATTTCTCTTACTGAGGTGCTTCAAAGTAATGTTAGGTCTAAAGATTAATTTTCATAAAAGTATTGTTTGCGGGATATGTATAGAAGAGGTGATGGTTAAGGAGTTTTCCATAAAGCTCAATTACCTCAGTCAGAGATTAACACTTACTTATCTCGGCTTACCTTTAGAGGCAAACTCAAGGAGAAGAAGTACATGGCAACCTGTGATGGAAAAGTTTAAGAAGAAGTTAGCATTATGGAAGAGGAGGTTCTTATCCTTTGTTAGTAGATTAACCCTGATTAGATCTGTCTTGTCAAGTCTACCTATGTTCTTTCTATCATATTTTAAAATGCTTGTGGGAGTTGCTAAAACAATTGAGAGAATTCAATCTAACTTCTTGTGGGAAGGTTCTGAGATTAGAAGGAAAGTTGATCTAGTAAGCTGGAAGGAGGTATACAAAAGTACAGCCCAAGGTGGGTTAGCTGTGAGAAACTTGAGTGATGCTAATGTCTGTTTATTGTTAAAATGATGGTAGAGGTAACGTAGAGAGCAGAAGTCATTATGGAAACAGGTGGTTTGTAACAAATATGATGGATTTAAGGGAAAGTGGATCCCAGCAACAGTGGAATCTAATATGGTGTCTAGTGTGTGGAAGGGCATTATATCCTCTATTTCTTCAAATCCTATTGTGGTCGAGTTGTTTGCACAAAATTTCAAGATTATCATAGAGAATGAGGAGATGATTCATTTTTGGACTGATAAATGGTTTAATAGCAGAAGTTTGAGGAATGACTTTCCTAGATTGTTCAGTCTCTCAATGGAGAAGGAAGGCTCATTGCAATTTTTCTATCAAAGAAAAGGGCAAGACAGAGATTGGAAGTTGGAGTTTAGAAGACCACTCTTAGCTTGGGAGGATGAGGAGTTTCAAAGGCTTAATGTATTATTATCAGAGGCACCTAATCTAAATCATATGGCTGAGGAGTTCTGCTCATGAATGTCAAACAGTTTAGGTGTGTTCTCTGTGGCTTCGGTATAGTAAAGTATGGAGTCGGAGAAAGGGTCAATGCTCAACATGTCAAAGTTGTTGTGGAAAAATTCAGCACCTCCAAAGGTTCTTCAGTTGGTTAGCTTGGAGGGGGAGAATAAAGTCTGCAAATTTTATGCAGAGGATTGGAGTATTGAATAACAATGTAAGTTCTCTTTGTGTATTTTGTAAGGCAAAGGTGGAAATAGTAGATCATGTGTTATTATGCCCTTTGGTCTGGAATGTATGGTCTGATTTGGGGAATTGATGGGATGTAAAATGGATAACACCAGGTTCTGTGGAGGTTTTGTTGCAATGGTGGTCTGGTATGTAATAGAGGAAGAATGAGTTGGAGGTTTGGAAGGTTGTCCATTTGGCAATGCTGTGGTCTGTATGGAAACTAAGGAATGAATGTTTATTTATAGAGGGTCGTGCTGATCAAGCAGAAATAGGGGAGCTAGTGAAAGTTTGAATTGCTTTATGGGTTAAGTCTAATATGAAGGGTGTGAATTACTCAGTGCATGATGTTATTGCAAACTTGAAGCAAGTGAGATGTTGTTTATAAGATGTTGGAGTTTGTTGGTGTATTGATTTGCTTTGAGGTTGTGACTCTTATGTAGCTGGTTGGTTTTTTATTTTTGCTTTTCTATTTTTTGTCAATGTTTTGATTTGGATTGGTTTCTCGCCAGTCCGTGGGTCTAGTGCTAGCATATCATTGTGCTTTCTCCTTGGTGCCAACCTAGTTGGGATTATGGAGTGATAGCTATGATGCTTTTTGCACTTCCCTCTTTTATTGATGTAAGTTTATGCTTGTATTTGCTTGCTTTCCATTAGTAAAGTTTCTCTTCTTCTTTGTTGATAAAAAAAAAATCGACATAGATATAGATTCTTCACTACAAATAGAAATGAGGGCAGTGAGTAAATGGTCATATCATAGAGGGGGAAAAGAAATCTGACAGACCGTGGGTGATGGAAGAAACCAGAGTAGGGTTGACAAATTAGAGAGCATTCGATGTAATAGGACTAATTAGAGGGATCTAAAAAAAGCATTGTATATTGAGAGTTACAAAAAAATTATGTCCCATGAATAATGGCTTTGTTTCTCTTCTTCTTCTTTGTCTTTTTGTGCTTTTCACAAATCTTTCACTCACTATTAATAACAGAAACATAATTTTGTGATATTGTTTACCTTTTATTATATCACATGTTGGTGCAAATTTTGATAAATGAGATGGAAAGAAATAAAACAGAAAATAATTAGTATTGTTTCAAGGCACGTTACAACATTGCTTTCCTTAAGACGATATTTTCTCTTACTAATTCTGTCGAATATGGTGTGCACCAGGTTTTCTGCGAATTTTCCTCTAGGATACAATGAAACCCAGTCTAAAAACTGATGTCTGACTACATTATGCACGAACGAAATCAGATCTCGAGTACCTTCAAATAAAGAGAAAAATAACAATATATATCATTGAGAGAAATTCCATGGAAAATTATATATCCAATTGTCGACCCATTTTGCCTTTATATAGGCATCAGTTTGTCCCTTAGACTAAAGGTCATGTCCTTTAGAGTCAAAAAGTGACACCCTTTAAATCCAAGAGTCATGTCTTTTGGTTTAAATCCAACGGTTACAACCCGTGATTTAAATCCAAAAGACACACTTTTTTTCTTTAAACTCAATGGTTATACCCTTTGATTTAAACCAAAAAATAACATCTCTTTAATAATTCATATAACTATATTACACATTTAAATATATATAAATATATTATGAAAATGTTCCAACAATCCCTCACCATTTTCAAAATATATGAAAATAACAACTTGAATAGATTAGGAAAATTTATGCATAAACGAAGATATCTTTCGATTTGAATCATCCACTTAGTGAAAACACATCAAAGTTAATCAATTTGGCATAGTAGACTTGTCTTTGAACTAGTGGTCTTATACGATTAACCAGACACGTCTCACACACAAATTCTCTTCTCCTTAGGTAATTCAAAAAGCCGACACATGGATTAGCCTTGTGTCTATATCTTGTTTCTTGCACGTTTTAGAGTCAAGCCCTTAGACTTATAGGAAGCGACACCACCTCCTACACTCATATAGGTAAGCTTATTGAGAGTACCCCTGTAACTATAGTACTCTAACTCACTGTTGTAAACTTATAAAGAGCTAAGTAGCTCAACCTCCTCTTTTGCATTACAGGTCCCAAACACTTTACCTTGGGATGGTTATAAAAATAAAATTTTAGGTGCTTGCAATCACAACATATGGTGTACTTGGTCTCATTGAACTCAAGGACTTGATAGTTCTTCAAGCATTGAGTCGAGTTTCCATCCGGAGTGATATGTTACTTGGGTTTAAGACCCATTCCCTTTGATGATCTCACATAAATTTCTTGCAAGTATTTCTTAGATAATTCACAGTCATGTGAACAAAATTATTACATAGCTATGTATTACCATAGTTTATAACGTGATCAACATGTTCAGACTAATAATCACTATCGTAACTATCAAGTCACATTGATGATGAGTTTGCATCTTGAAAATTTCAAGAAAAATCCATGACAAAAATACCATGTCACTCCATCTCTTTTGTTACAAGAGACTAACAAATTGTAAAAATTATCTCTTTAATTCGAAGAGATAAACCCCCACCAAGAGTAATCTTTATTTACTCTAAGCTATAGTTTTAATGCTAACACTACAAGAAATAATAGTTTCGCCGACCAAAATATTAGTCGCCAAAGGTCACTTTTTTAGTCGCCAAAACCAATTCGCGACTAAATTTTTTTGTCGCCAACTTAGTCGCCTAAACCCTGTCGGCGAATGTTTTAGCGATTAAACGTGTGTTTGGTCGCTGAAAGTGAAACATTTGGCTACTATTTTATTTAGTCAGCAAAACCTACCTTTTAGCTACTAAATTTTAGTTGGTTGGCAAAGGGCCAATGTTTGGCTACTAAATTATTGGTATCCAATAGTGAATTATATTTTTTTTGAAATTATACATTTACCGACCAATGTTTTAGTCGCCAATACTCAAGGAATCGGCGACCAGACCTTTTCGTCGCCAAAAGTGATTTTGTGAAAAAAAAAATTACACTCTGCTCTTGTGGAGATTCGAACCATCAACCTCCCACACTATAAACCTTATACAACACCCTCTTTTCACTACGCCTCCCTAACACCATATGAGTATATATGCAACATATATTATTTATATAGTACATAGACCCGTATTAATATAAAAGTATATATATAAAGATAATTATTTTTTATTGAACATAATTTATGTAAAAATAAATTATTTATTAGAAAAAAAAGACCACTTTTGGCGACTAAACATAATTTTAGTCACCAATTCTATACTTTTGGCTACTAATAATTTTTTAGTCGTTAAAAATAAAATTCCCGTGCAAAAATTACTACTTTTGGCGACTAAACTTCTTTTTAGTCGCCGAATGCCTCACTTTTGGCTACTAAATTATTTTTAGTCGCCAAAAACCGGCACTTTTGGCTACTAAAATATTTTTTATCGGTAAAGGCCTCACTTTTGGCTACTAAATTTTTTCTAGTCGCCAAAAATCTTTACTTTTGGCTACTAATGCTTTTTTAGTCGCCAAAAGCTATACTTTCAGCGACCAAATTTTTTTTAAACGGGAAATTTGGTGGCCGAATGTTCTTTTTCCTGTAGTGTAAGTGTTTAAATAGGCGCCTTTGTATCCTTTCAAATAATTGGATTCCCACTTTAACATATAAACTAACCATTCTCAATAATTTTGAGAAATAAATTATGGGACTTAAACAATCAAATACTTTAGAACACTTTCTTATATTATCTTAAGTTTCATGATTTGCGCTTGTAATTGTTTTGAATCATAAATTGACCAATCAATATAAAATTTCCATTCAAATACAAGTTACATAAATTAGAAATTCTAATTTAATTACATTTAGAAAATTTTCCCAAGCATATAATGTATACTCTATATTTTCT